GGGTGGGTCAAGTTAAAAATAAAAAATATCAATGAGCCAGAAAGAAGTAATAAGAACTGAAGATTTTTCAACAATTATTTTGTGAATATGACCTCCAAATCCAAGTCCAAAGAACAGTGGCGGAGATGTATTAGAGATTCTTGATACTTTTTTATTTCAGATTAGATTGTCATTCTGTTATGAACTTTTGTGTCTGTAATGCAAATTACTGTGCTAAATTTTTGTTTAGCAAATTAGCATGGGCTGGGACCCGCAGAACTATTTCGAGTCTTTTTCATTACCTTCTGCCTGCACTTAGCCTCGGACCCTACCTCACTCTCAGCGAACTCCTTTCTGTTACCTCCTACACCTCAATGTTAATAGAAGCCAAAAGAATTAGCTGAACCCTGTCAGAAAGCAGTCATTGTTAGATTTTTTTTTTCTTTCTGTGCATGCCTTAACTTGGTGCAATAAGGTCCTAATTAGGACTTGGATCGTTGATTGTTTTTCAGATGGTGAAAAGGCAGACATATCTGCCAGCATCTATCCAGACATAAACATCATCACTGGAGCCCTTAAACTGTATTTCAGAGACTTGCCCATCCCCCTCATCACATATGATACCTATTCCAAATTTATAGAGGCAGCAAGTAAGTATTTAGAATTATTTTTTTATTTGTACCAAAATGTTAAGTACAATGCTTTTGACCTTAAGAAAATTAAAATTCAGAACTCTTTAAATTATTGCACGTGCACTTGTTTTGCCAAGTGAGGGCACAACAGTGCAATTGATAGACAACCAGGCATAGTTCACCAACTGAGTTGAACCAGTACGGAGCCAACTCTACTGGGCTGAAGCAGGGCGTCAGGCGTTTCCTTGTGTGCTGGAAACTAGCACAGTCGGGCCTAGGCTGCTGTATGTTGGAAGCATGAATATTTCTGTAGCAAAAAATAATCAGATCTTCTTCAATGAGGACGATCGAGGTCAACTACTTTTATCCACTAGACAGAATCTCATTGCTAATCAATTAAAGTCACACCCAAGTTTTGCCCATTGACACTATTCAAAATTAACAGAAGGCCAAGAATATGCTGTTCCAAGTGCTATGCTAGGACCCCTCACCAATGTCTTCTGGTTTAATCTTCTCATCTCCTCCATGAGGCAAATATTATAATCCCATTTTTCAGAAGAGAAAAGCGAGGCTTGGAGAACTAAGCTCACAGACCCAGGAATGGAATCCCAGCGTTCACTTTCCATCAGCTTGTTCAGTGTCCAGCACTTGGGGCAGTGCTGTCAGGGGAGAGGAACAAAGTGAAAGGGAAGGCGGGAGAAGGAGCTGCCCTTCGCCCAGGAATAGGCATTAGTGAGGAAGGGGACATTGAGATGCTGAGATCCATGACATTGAAGTCAAGCCCACTTTGAGGAAGTTTCCTTCTGTTTTGAGTTTTGTTGTTGGTGTTTAATCTTTAAAGGTTGGAAACTTTAGATATGTGCTATTAAATATAGCAATGAGATGCCTGACTGGGAGACACAAGGGCAGGCTGGGATAAGGGTGAGATGCACTTTCCAGATGAGCTGTGGCCCTGCTCCCTGGTAAGACCATTTCTTCCCAGGTCCTGGTTGTCCTAGGCAGAGAAGAATGGCAGGAGGGATTTCTTTGAGTAGCTGCCAATACCTATCAGAGACCCAAAAACCCTTCCATCGTTAATAGGCCTAGTCTCCTCTTCCTAACCTGGGCTGTGCACCGGGGTTAACCATGCCAACACTTTGGTGAGAAGTACCATCAATGCAGGCTGAGTTGGCTGGCTCATCTGCCAATGTCATTGCATTGCAAAATGGGTTTGGTTGTGGAAGCCTGCCAGGGAAAAGACATTAGACAACTTCAAAATATGTGGTACAGTTTAATTTAAAGTTGTGATAGTCAGATTCCTAGCAAATCCAGTGCTTGTAAGGGCAAGGCACAGTTTGCGCATGTGCCACCAGACTGTAAGCATTCCACTGGCCTGCAGATTCCTGGAGGGCAAGGACGGTGTCCACCCTCTGGCCACCCACGATGTGGACATGCAACAAGCATATGGGGCTCAGCCTCAACTCTTTCTGGAATGAGGCAGGGCATGGACAAATGAATTAAGTGAAATAGTACCTGAAATTACATGAATTTATTAGAACCTGCCCCCATTTGCAGCTAAAACAAACAAAACTTCTTGTTATTTCTTGGAAAACTTTACCATCCTAACTCTGCACTAATATCCGGATGTGTGAACTTCACAGAAATCTCCAATGCAGATGAGAGGCTGGAAGCAGTCCATGAAGTGCTGCTGCTGCTGCCTCCTGCCCACTACGAGACCCTCCGATACCTGATGATCCACCTCAGAAAGTAAGCTGGCAGCGCATCTGCAAAGCCTGATCCACCCCCGGGGCCATTAGTGCGTTAGGAAAAGCCCCAGTGCTCCTCCCAGCCCTCGTCAGCAGCACTGGAGCCCTCGCTCTGTGCCAGGAGCTGCTCTGGGCACAGTCCTTGTATCATGCCTATGTGGTGGGCACTGTCAGAGGCCTCGGGTTACATGTGAGGTTGCTGAAGCTTAGGGGGGTTAAATGTGGTAGCTGATCCACAGAGGTAAAGCCAGGATTGAAACCCAGGCAGGCTGACCCAGAGCCCATGCTCTGTCTTAACCATTTGTCTACACTGCCTCGGCGTCTGTACCTCCCTCCGACGCAAGCCCTGCACTCTGTGTGCTATTCTCCCCCTGCTGCTTACCCCAGTTCTGGACCCCGAGCCTGCCTGCCCCTTGGAGAACACATTCCCAACCTGTTCTCTTGTGAGTTCTCTGTCACCGAGTAACAAATCGCCCCAAAGTTTAGTGGTTTAAAATAATAAACATTTATTATCTCATAGTTTCTGTGGGTTGGGAACCTGGGTGTGGCTTAGTGGGTGCTTCACATTCAAGGTCTGTACCGTCAGGTGCAATCTCATCCGAAGGGCTTGACGGGGGAACATCCATTTCCGAGCTCATTCGTTCACATGGTTGTTGGCAGGATTTGGTTCCTCAAAGGCTGGTGGACTGGAGCCCTTATTTCCTTGCCATTTGAGTTGCTCCATAGGCAGCTCACAAATGGCAGCTGGCTTCCCTCAGAGCACGCAAGCAACAGTTCCCAAGATGAAAGACGGTCTTTTTGTAACCTAATCTCAGAAGTGACATCCTATTGCTTTTGCCATAGTTTATTCGTTACAAGCAAGTCACTGGGTTGAGCCCATATCCTAGGGGAAGCCACTCCACAAGGGTGTGAATTCCAGGAGATGGGGATCCCTGGGGACCATCTCAGAGGACACCCACCACACTCTGGGTGTCTATACAAGAGTGTACGAGACAGAGGTGGAGATGTTTGGATGTTTACAGGACACTAGAGCTCCAGACTCTTCTCCCTAAACTTTGTGTCTCTTTCCTTCGCTGTATGTGTATAATGAGGTCAACGGGTTGGTCTTATAATACTGGAGGGATTGAGGTACATCTATGTGCCTCCCTGTGTGTTTTTTGGTAGATACATGTCAGCAGCCCATTCTTAGATAAAATGAACCAAAAATTATCTACATTGATCAATTTATAGGTCTACTTACTAAGTGAAAGGAACCAAGTTGATAATACTGTATTAACACTGGCATGGAGGTTTTCATTTTTCCGCCTTATAAAACACACAAATACTATCACCCAGCTTCAGAGTGACCAAAGATGGTAACATTTCACTCATAATATTTCCATTTTTATTAGTTTATTGAATTTAAGAGTACAAATAATTTTTGGATGAGTAATAAACTATAAGTATCACATCTGGCTTTTAACTAGCTATGAAATATTTCTTTCATTGTGATCATTATCTAATTGTTACAGTTTGGAAGGCAAAATACCACCATCAGGAAAAATGCTGACATCTCCCAGCTGCATCTTAAATGCCAATAATTTCTTATTTTCATTGTGGTGGGTTTGATAGCCATCTTTGTTTGGTCAGATGTAGTGGCTGCCTTAACAGGGAGATGTGAGCACTTCAATAGTAAAGAACGTCCTCTTTCCAACCTTCTTAGCTTTGTAGCATGAAAATAACACAAACTGAGCTGACCTTCCTTAAATAAGGCTAACTGGCTAATCCTAATTAGCTCTAAGGCAGTAAACAGAAAGGGATGGCCTTCTGTGCAAAACCTAAACACATTTTCATTATATTTTGCTCTAATTTAGAGAACCTACTCCCTTTTAGATCTATTATGAATGTTCTAAAACCTAAATTTGTGAAAGCAAAAATCTGGGAGATTTTAATTTTATTCCACTAGGAAGGTTAAGAAGCCAACTTTGGAGTTTGAATTTCATTCTTAGAGGCTCTGAAGTTCTTATCTGGATGTTGAAATGACGATTTTTAATTCCAACAATACTTACCACTCCAGACCTCATCCTGTGGGAACCAGAAATATCCACTGCCTTCCAGCTTGGCCACGTTCCAGCCTGTCCCATGATAATGGCCTGCCTCTTCCTAAATTCATGGCAGCCCATTCTACAGGCAACCTTTCTCCTCTGGCACTGGTCCTGCCAGCAGACAGGGAATCTGCCCTCGGCTCCCCAACCCTGCAGCATACAGACCAGCAGGGAGAGACAAGAGGAAAAACAGACGCCCGTGTAAGGCCCACGTATGCACCATGGCGCAGCCAACAACTGCCACCCCTTCAGAGCAATATTCCTTACCTGATAGTTCCACATGTATTTAGTAAGGAGGACTAATTTTCTAATTTTAAAAATTGTGTTCATACGAGATTCATATAAATAATTCACATCCACTGTCATGAAAGCAATGTCAACAATTCAAAAAGGAAAAAATCAGAAAATTACCTCTTTAAAAATACCTTTCTGCTGTTCTGATTCTCAATTTTCTCCTGCAATTTCCTGAACCGGAGATGTTCTTGGGACTTAAATATAGAATCAGTATGTAAATTCATTCACGTGTCTACATAACGTCTGTGTGTGTGTGTGTGTTACAGGGTGACTATGAATGAAAAGGACAATTTAATGAATGCAGAAAATCTGGGGATCGTGTTTGGGCCCACCTTGATGAGGCCCCCCGAGGACAGCACCCTGACCACCCTCCATGACATGCGGTACCAAAAGCTGATTGTGCAGATTCTAATAGAAAATGAAGATGTTTTGTTTTAGTCCATCAGGGAAATGAGCTGAAGAACCCCAGCCCCATCTAAGCTGATAAAGCTAAAGGAATAAAAACATTTCTTACACTTGCTTTGTTTTTCAAACAAGTGACAGAATTTCCTGGACCACAGTGGATCGCCGAGTCAGGTACTGTGTCTCATAGACACGCGCCTTCTCCACGCGAGAACAACAGGGGTGAGGGTGCGCAAACCCCCTCACCTTGGGTCTTTTGCCGTGCCTCGTATGTGTGTCTGTTTTGCTGGAAGAGTGATTAATAAATCTTTCTTTAACTTATTAAAAAATAATGTAGACCTTTAAACTTCAGTCTCATCAGTAACAAAAGGGAACTTAATTCATAAAGGTACTTGATACAGGTATACATTTCCACTTACAAAAAGAAGACAATTCTATCTGTTAAATGTTAAATGAAACCTATATTGTAAAATGTATTTTTATTTTACCTGCAAGAATGTTATTTTATTTTAGCAAATAGAACTCAATGCAGTGCATTGATTATTACCCTGTGTACCTTGTCCCACGTTCTTGCTGTGATGCCCTAAAAAAGTTGACCACGAATGCAGTATTATCTTGACATACCTCTGTCCTCATCAGTGCTTTTCAGTGACGTTTCACCTGCCACATGTGTTCCTGCTTTTGATAGTTCTTGCTCTTAAGCACTGGCATTCTGCTATTGCATGGTGTAGTTTATAGCAATTGCAGGATGGTCTGAAACATCCACAGGTTTTCTTTCCATAAAAATTGTGTGAATTCCCAAAGTATGTTTTGTAATTGGTCACAGTTTTTTCCATATCATGCATATCGCCGAATGTGGTTGCTTTACACAAAATTATTTGAGGACACTGGATGTATCTGGGCTGTGTAAAAAGTTAGCATTTTTCCTGTTTTCTTTCCAGCCAGGCCCTCTGAATTCATCTGTTAATGGCAAGGTGCATTTTTGCCACATTTCTGTATTGATGAACAGCAAATCTGCAGAATAATTGTTGAATTTCTTTTCCTTTTTGAATTTCTTTGAATTCCCTTTGAATTTCTTTCCTTTTATAAACAAGCTTATTTTAAAAAGTGAAACTGAATAAAGTTGGTTTTTACCAAATATTTGTTCCTTGAGAAAAGTAGCTCTGTATGGATAATAATTTAATATGATTTTATTTCTATAGTTCCATCTTCTTGATTATATTTATCTTAGCATGAACCTTTCACACCAAGATTTCTATATTTGGTAACATAAGTGAAATATTTAAAACATCCAAAACTGTAAATCTAGATTTCTTTTTTAAATCCAACTACAATGGCATTTCCTCTGATTGTCCAAGATGATTCACATAATTGCTCACCAGTCTTGTTCTGAAGTGACCGTAAGAGAATGGCTGTGTGTCAGGCGGAGCTGACAGGAGGAGCAGAGTGCAGCTGCTATCCTCGACGGTCCCAAGGGCCATGCGGATGGACTCCACTGCACACGGGGTCAAAGTGGCTTGACCTGGTCCCCGCTATTATCCTCCCTCCCAACTGTACAGAGTTGTTTGTTGTAGCTTATGTACTTCTTGATACTGTCAAAAAATTATCTGGAAATGGTTTTATTTTGTGAAGTGAACAATACTTTGTAATTTATGATAGTGTAAATGGAAGGAAAAGCATTACATGTATTATTAAATTCTTCTGTCTATCATTTTGGAGTATGTGCAAGAAAGTCATTTGGGGGAAGAGGGGCGGGGTGGGGGAAATCTTCAAAACGTTCCCAGATAAATTTTGGCAATAGATTTTCTATCCTCACTGAAACATGATGAGCAAACAGAAGCATCCCATGGAGTCCCTCTGCTAGCTTCCTTCTAGAAAGACTCTGATGCTACCTTCACTTTTTCTCAGACCTGCTGCACTGATGCCCTCCATACAGAGGTAGAGTCTAGAGCCAGTCGCTGCTTGCACGATAGTAGAACAAGAATTTTGGAGGCAGAAGTTTGAATCCCAGATTATTATTGGTAATAAATATTACCAACCGCATATAACCTTGGGAAGTTTGCTCCTCTGAAAAACTGAGAATAATATTCTGATTGTGATGTCTTAAATGAAATTTATAACCTAAGGTAATTAGTAATATTTCTTTCTCGTTATTATATTTTTAAGAGTAATGACTTAGAAAAGGAAAGGATATAACATAGGGCAGGGAGGGAAAAAGCATGAGAAGGAAAGGATTTGTCCTGGGTTAAATCCAAGTCCAAGTAACTGAGGGATCTTATAACAGGGCTCTGTAATGGGCGATGAGGTTCACTTGACTCCTTTTCTCAAATGTGATTCCAACACTTGATCCCCTCTACCCTGTGTTAATCTAAAGGCTGCTCGCCCAGGCCTATCTTCCCCACCATCTGGTAGCCTGACATGCTCCCTTTATCTGGCTTGAAATTCCTGCTATTACAATAACTCTAGCAGTGAGACCGTAGAGGAGGCAGCACTGTTTCCAGAAACCCACTGTTAAATGGTCCACAAGTGTGGCGAGGATGGGAGGAGACCTCTTTTCTTTCTCCTGCTGACATAAATGGGCATTGCAGATGACCTGGTCTCCACACCTGGGAGGGGGCACACAATTCAAGGACGGCAGCCTAGACGGGAAAAGGGAGGCAGAGATGAGGCCGAGGGAAAGGCAGTGAAGGGAGCATGGGAAAGAAGCAGACCCTACAGGTGGAGGATTGCTGGGGCTGTCCTGACTCCTGCTGAAAACTCAGTCTGGTAACTTACGAATTCCTAAATCCTATCAATTCCCAGTTGATAGTTTTTTAATTTATAACATTCATTAATTTTCAATGAATATTTATCAAGCATTTATTAATGGGGCAGACACTGAATACCTGGAGGCAAGGAAAAGGCTTATCTCACTAAAAGAATTAAATAATAAGTTTAGTCTGACTGGAGAGAGAAAGCTGATGATGTTACAGGTTTTGGACTCTAAGGGGAATGGAAGCTAGTAATGTTTTTTATTAAAAATTTTAATTGTAAAATAGTTTTAGAATTCCAAACAGTTGCAACAATACGATGCAAAGTTCCTGTATACCTCTTACCCTGTTTCTACTAACGCTGACATCTTACATAATCATAGGACATTTATCGAAACTAAGAAACCAACATTGGAACATTTACTATTAACTTTAGGCTTTGTTCAAATTGCAAGAGTTTTTCAATTAATGTCCTTTTCCTGTTCCTGGATACAATCCAGGTCACCACTTTGCACTATTGGGTTTCAAGGGGTGGATGGCACCATCTGGTTTACATTTTTAAAGAGTGACTTACTTGGTTGTGGATCCGTCAGAGACTGTGTGAGCAGGTGGGAGTAGTGCAGGGGGTACGCGTAGGGAGTCGGATGTTCCCTGTTGTAGTACTGGGCTGAGACGGTGGCACCTGGACCAGCTGGTAGCAAGACAGAGATTACAACTGAGCTGTATTTAGGAAGTAGAGTTGAAAAAGTCCGGTCACAGATTGGATTAAGGAATCAAGGATGACTCCCACGTTACTTAATTTGGCAACTGGGAAACATTTACTGAAATGAAGGACACAGAAAGAGGAACTAGGGTTATTGGGACAGGGTACAAGACAGAGGGAAGAGGAGGAGTTCCATTGTGGACACGATGAAATGGAGACAGCTGTGACATGTTCGAGCAGAGGTGATTCAGGAGAAATTGCATTAATAGACTGGGCTGGAGATACGGGTTTGGGAATGACCCACCGAAGACAACAGTTGAAAACACAGCATTGGGTAAGAGTACCCAGGGACATGGAGCTGAGAAATACCAGGGAGGCCCCCACCAGAGTTCTGTGGAGCACCAACAGGGGAGGGCAAATGTGGTCCATTTTAATGTAATAGAATGTAGAGGATCTCACGAGTGCAGTTCAGAAAGACTCTCTTCGATCTGCAGGTTTGCTTCACAATGTCCTAATACATTTATTTGTTTCACTTAGATTTATTTTGCTGTATGCAAGGCACCTGTGCTTTGGAGAGGTTTGCTTAGTTAGATGCTTTATAAATGCAAATGAGCCAGTGTTGTAGTCTGAATGTTTGTGTCCCCACAAAATCCATATGTTGAAACCTAATCCCCAATGCAATGGTATTTGAGGTGGAGATTTGGGAGGTGATCAGGTCATGAGAGTGGAGCCCTTTTATTAAAAAGGCAAGTTCTCTTGCCTGACTCACTGAATCAGGGGGCAGGACTCTGCAATCTGTTTTTTAGCAAGTCCTCTAGGCAATTTCAATGCAAAAGTTTGAGAAATGGTGATTTAGAAATATCAGGGCTTACACCTGAGCTAGGCATGGATCCAACTTATTCAAGGTGTTTAGATACCTGTATACCATGAAGTTCTACTCAGACACAAAAAACAATGGTGATCTAGCACCTCTTGTATTATCCTGGATAGAGCTGGAGCCCATTCTACTAAGAGAAGTATCACAAGAATGGAAAAACAAGCACCACAAGTACTACCATCAAATTGGTATTAACTGATCAACACTTAAGTGCACACACAGGAATAACATTCATCGGGTGTCGGGCAGATGGGAGGGAGGAGGGGATGGGTATAGACACATCTAATGGGTATGGTGCGCACTGTCTTGGGGATGGACACACCTGAAGCTCTGACTCGGGTGGGGCAAAGGCAATATATGTAACCTAAACATTTGTACCCCCGTAATATGCCGAAATAAAAAAAAAAAGAATTAAGAGATTTTTTCTTGGCAAAGAAAGGGGCAACAGGTTTGCAGCATTGTGGAGATTGTTCAAATTCTCAAGAAGCTGTAAACGTAGAACCTTCCCCACCCATACAGCCCTCCTTCTACGACCAAAGTCTCCATAGTGCCCACCCCCATAACCACAGTACCAACTCTGTCTCTAATATAACATTGTCTAAACTATAGGCTTTATGAGGGCAGGATTTGGTCTGCTTTGCTCACCACCCTATCCCAGCCTACTAACACAATTGCCACCCCAAGCTTTTCTAAGTTAATACCATATTCCTTCTACAAATATTGTACTCAAATGTTCCATTTTGGTGCAGTAGGGGAGGGGAATGATTCTAGAAGCAGAGGAGTCTGAAAATGCACATTGACTCTTGTCCATCATTTAGAGCTGTGCCTAACATCTGAACATTTTGAAGGTTTCTCCTTAAACAAGAGCTTTTCCTTTGGGACTAGACTTCCTTAACTCACCTAACTTTCACCACATTCTTTCTCCTTTTATCCAGTAGGAATGATTAAGCTTCAAAGTAACTCAGTTTGGAGAACCTTAAGATCTAAGTCTCTAGTTCAATGGCGGATTACACAGATAACAGTAGCTTTATTTGGCTAGAATCTAGTGCACCATAGACATGAGGAGGCCAGGTGCTGGGTTGAGTCAACCCCCTGTTTAAATCCTGGCTCCATCACTCTCTACTAGTGTGACTTACGGAAAGTTACTTGACTTTTTAAGCCTCATTTTCCTTGTCATTAAAATGAAGTAATACCAGTTCCTAGTCCATGAAGTTACTGTGAGGCTTCAGGTCATCTATGGACTGTACTCAGCATAGAGTTTGGAGCACAGACTAAGCAAACAAATGCTTTCCTAACAAATCAACAGCTTGGAGGAACATTTGTGAGAATGCTTAGACCATTTGTATCCTTGCTTCAAAGTTATAAGGCACGATCACTGTTGCAGCCTAGCAAATTAGAGAGTGACAGGGACTTCAACCGCGTTCTGCCCAATGAACTTTGGAGCCATGCCACACCTGTCCCGTGCTGAGAGATATGGTGGAAAGGGCATGCTGCTGCTACCAGAGCACTGGATTTCAAGCCACAAGACCTGGCTCAGTCATAGATCAAGGCTTTTAACATTTCTGAACTTCAGGTTTCTCTCCTTGGAAACATGAAAATTAATGCCTGCCTGCTCCATCCACCAACCTCACAGGGTTATCACAGGGGCCAGATGACATGGGAGCAGGTGTGGAGGCATCGTCACACACACCCCCACCCCTTGGTCCCACCCTC